TTGCAGGTGCAAACTTCCCTGTTCTCCAGATCTATTGCCTGCTAAGCATCTTGGACATGCCCTACACAGCTACTGCTAACCACAAGGAGAAGACAACGGCAATGCCAAGTGTGATGACCAGCCCTCAAGATGACTCAAAGTTTGGGGTAATTACATTTGTAATTTTGGGGGCTTAGAAAACAATACTCCAAAATGAAGGTCCCAGAAGCAGTGTCAGAAGCAAAAGTTTCTCTCCCACTTTCTCCTCCGCTCCTGTCTCTCACCCCTCACTTCTCCCTGCCGCTAACCATAGAAACTATTATATAATCCCTCTTCTCCGAGGCAGGTTGTAGAAACTCGAACCCCTTTTCCTTCAACCCAGCCATAGATCCTAAAAATATTACTCTAACTTTCCTCCGCCTTCCTGTGTAAAAATTAGCCATGAAGAAATTCTCTGACATACCTTGTTTGATTAGAGGTCACAAGATCCCCATTCCAGCGAGGAGCCTCTGCCATGCCCAGAAGGCAGGAGCGCTACACAAAGAGGCCAAGAAAAATGTACACATACAAGCCTTGCTGAATTTCTCCTCTCTGTTAGTATTAGATCATACCCATTTTCACCCACTTTTCTACACAACCGTCCATACTTTGTTGAACCTATGCATAACAATAGACAGTTTTCCCTATATCTTTGGGTCCTTATTCTGAAGGCTCCCATGTCATATAAAATTATATTACATAAATTTAGTTCTCCTATTAATTTTTTTTTCAGTTGATTTTTCAGCAAACCTTCGCAGGATGAAAGGGAAGTTTTCTTTTCTCCCCCTACATTAGGCAGTGATAAACTGCTAATACAAATTTAATCATGAAGAGTGAGGCACTTTCACAACAAAACCCTGAAATACTGTAATGGCTTTGGAACTGAGCAATGGGTAGAAGCTACAAGGACTCTGAGGAGAATGTTAGTGCGAGACTGGAGTCTTGAAGAAATTGTTAGAATCTTGATGGCCTTTGAGAAAGCTGTAGGTAAGGTCTTAAAGGGAAATGCAGAAAATGTCATTGGAAATTGGAGAAAAGGGGTCCTTGTTATGTAGAGGCAGCTTAATAACACTGTCACCTGTAATTTAGAAAGTTGAAAGTATGACTAATTAATCTGGTGTCCTAGGTTTTGCCTGACACCTTCTTGCTGATTATAGCAAAATGTAACAAGAAAAGGATCATCTATAGGTACAACCTTTAAGAAAAAAAAAAAAAAAAGAATCCAGAACTTGATAGTTTTGAAAATTCTCATATTCTCTAAATGGCAAAAGATATTAAAATGAAGAAATGGATTCTAGGCAAAGATAAAATACAGGACACTGCCAGGAAAATGTCATCAAATGATAAAGCTGAGAGCATGGCTATCAACCCTTTGCTCAGATTTCATAAAGATCTACCGCTGTGATTTGGAGAATCATTCCAATAGGGCTTTAATAAAGCTTACTAGTCTTGTGTTTCAGCAGTTTCAGCAGGAAAACCCTAGAGAAGAACTTATCTTGAAGAGATTTATGGGTACAATTTTTGTCCAATAGAGTGAATCCCAATTAGATTTGTAGGAGACTCATAAATTTTTTAAAGAATTATATTGGCAGAAACCCTGCCAACAGACACAGAGAGACAGTACACAAGGAACAGTGGCTTTTGGACCCCTAAATTTTATTTTCAGGAAGCAAAATGACAAAACTATATTGTTGCAAACATGCTACTTTTAATAAAAAAGGAAGGATGACTCAGAAAATGGAATCAAGAGCTGGAAGGGTGAGGTCACAAGGCACGGAAAGCCTGGGTAGAAGATCTGAGTCCTAATCAAGTCTCTAACATGTGACCATTTGGATTTAAAAATTCTATGATCCAGTGATGACTGAGAGCCTCCTGTCTTTATTCCTTTCTGGGCAGGAGTGTTGTCCATACCAGCTACCCTAAAACCTGTCCTACTTCTGCATGTTGGAGTGTAGGAGACACAGGTATTCAGATGAACTATACTCAAGGAATTGTACTTAAAGCACTAAACCCAGGATTCTCACCCGTATCTGGTCCAAATTTAGATGACAAATTCTGGATTTTGAGCTCATAACACAATGGCTTGACACTTCAGGGGGACCTAGGGAAGAAATGAGTGTATTTTAGGTCAAGTGTGGTGACTCACACCTGTAATCCTAGGCTGGAAGATCAAGAATTCCACTACCTTGAGCAAGAACAAGACCCCATCTCTACAAAAATAGAAACAATAGCCAAGTATAGTGGTACACACCCATAGTCTCAATTACTCGGGAGGCAGGAGGATCACTTGAGCCCAGGAATTTGAGGTTGGAGCGAGCTATGATGACACCACTGCACTCTATCCTGGTCAAGACTTGAGATCCTGCCTTAAAGAAAAAAAAAAAAAAAAGAGTGTATTTTGCATTTGGGAGATATATGAATCATTAGGGTCCAAAGGGCGGACTATGGCAGCCAGCCTCCAAAATGGCCCCAAAGAGCCCTCCTACTTCTTGTTATTCAAGCCCTTGCATAGTTTTTTCCCACAATGAATAGAGCTGATCTCTATTCCAACAGGCTGTGTTGGAAATGATGGCAAGTCATAATAGATGTTGCTTCTTCCATCTTGCTGTCTCTTAGATCATTTGCTTTGGGAGAATTCAACTACCATATCACAAGCATACTCAAGCAGCCCTTTTGGCCTCTTGCCAAAAGCCATGTAAGTGACACTTCTTAGAAGTAAATTCTACATTTGTAGTGACCCTTGATATGACTATAGTGCAACCCATATCTTTACCAAAAGATCCTAAGCTAGAATCACTTAGCTAAGCTATTACCAGATTCCTGGCTCACAGAAACTATGTGAGGTAACAAATACTTACTGTTTTAACTTGCTATATTTTTGAGGCAATTTTTAATACAGTAATAGATTAACACAGCAAGAATGCAATTTATGAATGCTCCTAAAGATTCCAATTCCTGGGACTCAGTTCTGATTTTTGTTCAGAGAGGTATAGAAGATCTGATTGATTCTATCACAGCTTGTCAATAGAACTTTATAAAGTACCTAACAGTTTCGTTAGCTTCTACCTCTAAGACCTTCTTTTTACAGAGGGTTCAAAGAAGGATTATAGCATCAGATACCAAATAGCATAGCATTATAACTTAACTTTTTGTCAAGTAAAATTAAGAAGACACAATAATAACAGTAATGACAGGAAGACTTCTCCTCTCCCTTCCAAAAATCCTAAACGCAAAAATGTTCTTTTTAAGACCTTAAAAAATTATTAATATGATCATTGAAAAAAGATTTTCTAAATGTGGTAACATTATGTTTTTAAAGGCTATGTTGTTTCCTTTTAAACTTGGAGTAGGGGGGAAGTGTAAATAACCAAACAAGGAACACTATTCACTAGGTATATTAATGTTAATATTTAAACTGACATTTGAATTTTTTTCCAGAATAGAGCATCAATCTTGTTTCAAATGCAAATACAGAAAATGATCTGGAGGAAAAGAGAAATGTGTATAAATTAGAACAAAACAAATCTGATTTTTTCAATATTCTATAGAATTATTCTGAGGTTAAACAAAGAGCTTCTAAAAAATAAGTATCTAACAAAATCTGCCCAAAGGTTAAGCAAATGTTAACCACAGAAATTTTAAATTTTAAAAATCGTTTAAAATACAACTTCATCTCCTGGCATTTTGTTGAAACCATTTGGAAATCCTAGCTCAAAATTATCCCAGGCAATCAGTGAAAAACAGACACTGTTCTACTTCCCTCCACTCTTCCTAACCACATGTCAGCCCCACCCCTGACTAAATTTAAAAAAAAAATCCCTTTTCCTCTCCCAAATACAATGCAAAACTAAAGCTCTTCTGTGAATGAAGAGACATTGTTATAGGGTGGAGACTAGAAGGGAATTGCCTACACTACCAGCAGCCAGCCAGAAATGCCCTGTGTGTGTAAAATGTTTCAAAACCTCCTTTAAAGGGCTATCATGAGCACTAACTATAATTTGTGCCAAAAATAATAATTAAAGATTAGTGAATACTGGGCAGCCACCTTTACATTAAATCCATAAAACAACCCCAAGAGGTAGATATTATCATTATTTTCACTTTACATGTCTTTTGAAAAGTGGAAAACAGACTGATGCATTAACTTGTCCATGGTCACAAAACTAAAACCACTGTTTTAGGATTTGGGGTCCCTTAGACGGTAGACCTCCAAAAAAAGATGGCTTTTAAAAAGAGCCACAAAAAGACCTAGCCTAGTTTTGCGTGCTTTAATACTGTTTAATGAACAAGTCCCCTAACTTTTATTTAGAATCCAATCTGAATCTAGAGGGACGTCTTACATAAAGAAAAATGACTGTAACCTGGAACTCTGACTAGACAAATACTATCCCTCTCCCCATCTCACGTCACCTGACTTCTCAGTTTGAGCCAAGGCCTGCTCTCAGAAAAAGGCACATTAGTTACTACTCCAGAAGGACTGAGCCCCTAGGAGGGAGGACTGCAAATAGACTTTGTTTGCTCAGCCTGATTCTGAGATTCCTTGAGCCAAGGAAACAAACATAGCCCTTCTGGGGCCCGCAGGAAGTCCTAAGAGATCGGGTTCAGTCTGGTAAATACTCAGTCCCGCACCTTGGTGAACATGGGGAACCGTGACGATAACGTGGTACTACAACGACCGAAACACACACGGACCCCAGGTCAGCGGCCTGAGAAGTCAGGGTAACACCTCCGGGGAGAAAGCGAGGGAAGCGCAGCCCAATTCCCGCCTCCGCAGCCAGCCGGAGACTTCCTCCATCCTCCCTCTCCCGCCGGGGAGGCCGAAATTCCCGGCCGCACAGCCGCGCCCCGCGGGAAAGCCAGAAAAGGGCCATTGCCACTTTAAATGACTCAGGAAGTGAAAGGGGGCCGCCTGACAACGACAGGGAAAGTGGAACCGGGGCGGCGCGTGGGCAGGCGGCGGCCGCAGGCACGCCGGGTTAGCGGGAGGGCAAGCGGGCGGCGCGGTGCGGGGACCCGAGGGGCGCGGGGCTGCGCGCCGGAAGTGTCGGGCGCGGCGGAGGAAGCGCCGCAGAGCCGCGGAGCCGACCGAGTCGGCGGGGAGGCCTTTTCCTCCTCCGCGCGGGCAGGGGCTGCCGCGGACCCAGGTCCCGCTAGGAGACGCGGCGCGACCCAAAAGGGCAGCGACTCCCGGAGAAGGGACCTCGGGGGTGGGGAAGGAGGAAGCGAGGAGGCCGCGCGAAGGGAAGGCGGCGGGCTCAGAGGCCTCGGCCGCGTGAGAGCACCCACATGGCCTGCGGAGTGGGCGCGGCCTTCGAGGAGCTGCCTCACGACGGCACGTGTGACGAATGCGAGCCTGACGAGGCTCCGGGGGCCGAGGAAGTGTGCCGAGAATGTGGCTTCTGCTACTGCCGCCGGCACGCTGAGGCTCACAGGCAGAAGTTCCTCAGTCACCACCTGGCCGAATACGTCCACGGCGCCCAGGCCTGGATCGCGCGAGCGGGCGGGGAGGGGGCGGGGAAGGAAGACGTGGAGGCCAAGGTGGAGCAGGAGAGGGAGATAGAAAGCGAAGCCGGGGAAGAGAGCGACTCTGAGGAAGAGAGTGAGTCAGAAGAAGAGAGCGAGACGGAGGAAGAGAGTGAGGATGAGAGCGACGATGAGAGTGAAGACGACAGTGAGGAAGATATGGAGGATGAGCAAGAAAGCGAGGCTGAGGACAACCAGGAAGGAGAATCTGAGGCTGAGGGAGAAACCGAAGCAGAAAGTGAATTTGACCCAGAAATAGAAATGGAAGCAGAGAGAGTGGCTAAGAGGAAGTGTCCGGACCATGGACTGGATTTGAGCACCTACTGCCAGGAAGATAGGCAGCTCATCTGTGTCCTATGCCCTGTCATTGGGACTCACCAGGGCCACCAACTCTCTACCCTAGACGAAGCCTTTGAAGAACTAAGAGTAAGTATTGGGCCTGCTGAGTATAGGCCTAGGGGTCAGGACACCTGGGTTTCAACTCAGGTGGCCTAGCTGTGACCCACATTCACTTTCACCTTGTCCCTAAAGAGCTAATCTAGTCAACTTGTTGGGAGCAGTGCTTATTTACCCTTTTTGGTTGAACTCCTTTGAGAATCAGATGAAAGTTCTGGACTCTGACCCAAGAAAACATGTGCACGCAAAAAAATCTAGTGTATAATTTCTGGAAAATCACAAGCTTCTGGTCTGTGGATCTCATGTATAGCATTTCTTGGGAGTTGATATATGCATAGGGGTGTGTGTGTGTGTATATATACATATATACACACACACATACAGGTTGACAGGTTATTAGATAGGAAAATTTCCAATAAGGGGTTGCCCTTCTTGGGAGTTCTGACCCTCCTTAGGCCAGTTTCCACCGCATCACTAATGTTGAGACCAGTGCCTTGCTTTCAGGCTCTTGATAAGGTAGTTCTTTTGCCTACTTGAAAACATGGGAAGTCACAATTTTGCCAAATGAATATAATCAGGTGATTTCTTCTGTAGTGAAAAGACTCCCTTATGTAGTGGCTTTGATAATAACATCATGTGTACCCTGAGTTCCTTTAGGTTTTCGTGGGAGATTGATAGGAAAAGAGGCTAAGAGGACCGAGGCCAATTTGGGATGGGAGTGGAAGTTCCCATATCCTCCATCTGGGCCTTCATCTGTCTTGGACTTTGCTGGTCCCCTAAAGCAATGTTTAGCAAGTAGTGGGCACCTATCAAATATTAGTGAATACATTTGTAAATGATTTACCTTTTATTAATATTGTGGATATTTGCAAACATTGAAAGAAAGTTCTAGTGTTAACTAGGGAGGAAAAGTTTGAGTGAAGCCATTGGCTCATTTAGTAATCAGCATATTAGTGAATATTGTCATGTTCTGATGATGTCTACTTTCCTAAACAACCTTATAGTTATAGGCATTGGGACTACAAATACTTTGATAATGAAAATCATCTGTATTAGATTTTGCCTTTTTTAATCCCTATCTTTTATTGTAAAATGAACTTTGAGAAAATGGGTAAAAACACATGTATAATCTGACAAATAATAATAAAGCAAATACTGATGTAGCCTTTACCCAGATTAAGATATGAATATTACTGTAATATTGAAGCCTCCCTGCTTTGTCAAACCCCCCCATATCTTTTTCCATTTATAACCATCACTTTTCCCCTTATGTTAACATTATTCTGACTTCTGTGGTGATCATTTCTTTGCTTATCTTTATACTTGTACCACATGTGTGTGCATTCATGAACTTATTTGAAATTGACATTGTTGGTATCTGTTTTTATCAGGTATTCTTTGGAGTTTTGCTTCATTTTCTCAGTATTATGTTTATGAGATTCATGTAGGGATTATTTTCATTGCTGTATTGAATTCCATTTTATGATTAACTTTTCTATCATGGAGGAACAATTGATCTGGAGCTTCTGGCTATCGTAAACAATGATGATATAAACATTCTGGGTCATGTCTCCTGGTGCATATTTACATACATTTAAATAGAATATAAATATAGGTGTGAAATCGCTGGGCCATAGACTATGCATATCTTCATTAGTTCTAGATGTTGCTAACTATTTTCCAAAGTGATGTACCAATTTGAATTGCCATAAAGAATATGAAAGTTTCATTTTGCTGTGTATTTTTCACCAATACTTGTGATTACAATATTTTTAGTCAGTCTCATAGATAAGTAATGGTATCTTATAGTTTTAAGTCACATTACTTTGGTTACCCATGACTTTGAGTGTCTTTTGTATTTCCTCTTTTATGAAATACCCAGTCAGGTTTTTTGCTTATTTTCCTATTGAGTTGTTTTTTTCTCATTTGTTTGTAGGAGTTTTTATATATTGGTTTCTGACTAATTTGTTCTTTACAACCCTTTATATGGGTTGTAAACATCTATTTTGTGGGCTTTCTTTTTTTAAAAAGTGCCTTACACATCTTTATTTTAATGTAGTGAAATTTATCAATATTTTCCTTTGTTGTTGGTGCTTTTTCTACCTTCTTCCACTTAATATTGATGTTTGTGTGATGGAAGTTGGGGCTCAATTTCCTTTTTCCCTAGTACAAATAAGCAATTGCTCTAAGTCTGTCCTTTCTGCAGTGATCTGCTATGCTACTTGTCACATATCAAATGCTTGTGTGTGTGTGAACGTGTTATCTTGACTCTTATTCTGTTCCATCTATCTGTTAGTATATCCCCATGTGAACAATATGTTTTTTCAGTTACCATAGCTTTGTAGTAACATGTCTTAATACCTGGTAGAGCAAGTCCTTCTGACTTGTTCTAGAGAGTGTCTTGGCCAGTTTTGGCCTGTTACATTTTTTAGATTCATGCTAGGAAAAAGCCTGCAAGAGTTGTTTTTTTGTTTGTTTGTTTGTTTTGAGAGGGGGAGGGAAGTATTGTATTATTTTTTCTGAAATATTTTGTATAGCATTGTAAAGTGAATCTCAGATAGTAATGTAAAAAATGTTCTTAAGCTTTTCCCCCTAATTGTATATAGGCATATGACTGATTTTTCTATTAACTATCTATTGAATACTCTGTCCTAATTATCTGTAGATTCATTCCATATACATGCAGAATGTATTATCTACAAAGAAGGACAGTTCTTGTTTCTTTCCAGTCTTTATACCTGTTCTTTGTTTTTTCTTGCCTTATTGCTTTGGATAGGACCTCCAGTGTAATGTTGAATAGATGTGATAATGGATGTTCTTGCCTTTTCCCTAATCTATGTATAACTTACATCATCATTTCACAAATAAATGATACATTCTATAGTTTTTTTTAGTAGATATGTTTTATTAGATTAAGAAAGTTCTGGTCCTAGTTTACTAAGGTTTTCTTAATTTTCAGTGGATTTGACTATCACATGATATCTCTACATTTATTGTGATGAACATGTCATTTTACTTTTTTACTATGTTAGTATAATGGATTACATTAATAGGCTTTTTTTTTTTTTTTTTTGAGACAAGATTTTTCCTTGTTGTTCAGGCTAGAGTGCAGTGGCTTCATCATAGCTCACTACAACCTCAAACTCTTGGTTTAAGCAATCTTCCTGCCTCAGTCTCCAAATTACCTGGGACTACAGGTCTACACTACCACATCCATCATACTATTTTTTCTATATTGTTGTAGAAATAGGGTCCTGCTATTGGTCAAGCTGGTCTGGATCCTGTGCAAATGATACTCCTGCCTAGACCCCTCAGAGTGCTAGGATTAAAGACATAAGCCACTATACCCAGCCAACTTCTTAAAATTAAATTTAAAAATCAGTAATGTGTTCACATGTCTCAAAAGCTTTTACAAACCCTTTTGAAAGCCTCTCCTACCAGCTGTTGATAACCAGTTTTATTAGGTTTTTTCTTATCTTTCAAGTGTTTTTCTTTTTGCAAATATTGGCATGGATATTTATGTGGTCTTTTTTACACCTCTTCATGTTATAATATTTTATAATTATAAAGCATCCTCGCATTTCTGTGATATACTTATCTCAACTTGGAACATGGTGAAATATCTTTATGTTTTTGGATTTTGTTTATTAATAATTTATATAGAAATTAAAAATTTATATTTATGGGAGAAATTAGCCTAAAATTCTTTCTTGTACTGCCCTCCTGAGATTTCATAATCCAGGTTATTCTGGCTTCATAGTCTAAGACAGAGTGTATTGTTTCTAATGTATTTTCTCTCTTTTTCTCTTTCTCAATCTCTGGTGGAAGTGTTTGTGTAAGATTAGAATATTTCTATTAATGGAATAATTGTTAGCGCTGGCCACAGAAGCTATCTGCTAGACCTGGAGAGAGGGGGGCTGGGGATAGTGTTCTTAGTTTTGTATAACATTTTTGACTATGGATTCAATTTCTATATTGGTTACACATCTATTTACGTTGTCTGTTTTTTTTCTTAAGTCAATTTTGGTAAGTTATATTTTCTCAGAAGTTTGTCCATTTTGCCTAGATTTTCAAATATAGCAGCGTAAATTTGTGAAACATATCCTTTTATTGTCTTTTTTCTTTCTTTTTTTTGCAGTTTTATTTGCTGGGTCCTGGTTCGAACCTGCCATCCTGGTATATGAGTCCCATGCCCTACTCCTTGAGCCACAGGCACTGCCCTTATTGTCTTTTCTCATACTGTAGCTATTCTCTGTATTTCTTTGGGAACAGTAGCATGTTGATTTGTAGTCTGCCTCTGATAATTTCATTATGTTAAAACTTTATAGATCACTTTCTTCTGTTGTTTTTGATTTTTTTCCTTATTTTCTTTTGCGCTTGTTTTTATTTCATTAAATAGCTTCTCATTACCTTTAAAAAATTATTTGTCGGAATTTCCTCAAGGCTTGCATGAAGCTGCACATTTCAAAAGGATTTGCCTTTGCTCCTGCTAAGGCCTAAGAACACGTGTTTAGAACATCCTTAAACTGGATCTTGGGGTTTCTTGGATCAAATTTTTAGGAGGACCTGCCCAAGGTTACAATCTCTTAAAGATTTTTTTTTCATGTTTTTACTCCCCGCCCCCCCATTTTGTTCAGCTGTGAGACAACACTTTCTACAGTTCCATTTGGAGGTTTATATAGTGGCAAATATGCTTTTATTTTGGGTTGCCTTTACTCTGGGATTTTACTCTTTGGCAGGGATTGAAAGGTCTGGGGATGGGATCCCAAGTCTATATGGAAAGGGTCTCCTTTAAACACCCCGCTCTGTGCATGCCATAGGCTTTGCTTTCTGTTATCTCTTACTCCCCTTCCAACTTATTTCCTGCTTTTAACCAAATTCACAGGTCAGTTTCATGGGATCAGTAACAGTCATCACATCAAGAGCTGCTTCCTTTTCTTTGCCTATCATAACATTGGGAACAGTATTACTTACTAACTGAACTATAGACTTTATCAAATTTCACCAATTTTTTCTCTAATCACTTTTAC